TCACCTCTATCTGCGAATGTCTCTGATGATGGGTTCGAGTAAGAATCCGAAACGTCAGGCAAATAAACTTCTTGTCCCAGTGATCGCATCTTCATCTTCTGAACTGCTACCTGGGACTCGCCTGTTCGCTTCTATCAGCACTGGTAGCTATCTAGTACGGTTCGCAACCCAGTCTACCATATCCGACTTGGAGCCTTACGCATTTTGCTACCGTATCCTCACACTTTCTGATGCACACTTTTGTTGTGAGACCTCCAGCGCATTGACAGATGCACGTATTCTGTCTGGTAATCCGGCCAGATTCATGCACTTCACAATCTTATGACTTGGTACACATCTAGTCCCACTCTGCGTCCTGGCAAAACACGCTCTACTCGCTGACGATGAATGTTAAAAACTTACGGGTGTACCCTTAGGTTGTCCTCCGTTAAACATCAAAAGCGCAGGCCTCGAGCCTTTTATCCTGCTTTCCACAATCTTAGCTATGTAAACGATTCTGGGTAGAGAAGTGCAGACTCTTATTTCTCATACAAACTGTCCTGGTTAGGAAAAAATGACTTACTCTTGCTTCTCCTTGTAACATCCGACTCTTCTTCCTGTTCCTTATCACATACTACGCATCCCGCTAGCAAATTTGAGCAACCGTTCTCTGTCTTGGTATTTTTATATTGTAACGGCAACATAATCTAAAACTCATTTAAGTCCGATTTTTTTTATGTAGTTTGCACTAAAGCTCTGAAAGATCTCGTCTTTTCCCAAACCAAGCAAGAAATATTTTTAGCAAGTGAATCAGAAGAAAACACATGCAAATTTCGTAGCACTGTTTTGTAGTTACCCTGTTCCTGGTGTTTTCTGCAGTATTGCGTCTCTCTCTCTCTGACACAAACTTGCGTGCACACATCAGTGGTTGTTATCCGTTTAACCTTGAGAGGATCAGGGTAGTGTTGCCACCGCGACCGACCGAGCACTGACAGCACCGCAAGTCTCTGCGTGGCGTCTGGCCAAGCACAGCCATAGAAACAAGACAAACAACTTCACTCAAAACAGTCGAATGCCTTACACAGCCCACTCCGTACGTGCGCCGCGCGTTCAGCTACTGGTCTGCTCCGACGATTTATTTTTCACCCATTCTGTGCAGAGTAGTGTACTCGTCCCACCTACATCTCTCCTTTCGTCCGATTCCTGACCTTCTCTGAGGGTGACAGTAGTTGGGGTCCGCAATTGGTCCTAGCTGCTGTGGCAGACCCGTAAAAGGCTCCCCATCATGCAGGGCAGTTTGCTCCCACTTCATGTAACTTTCTGAAGGTCTATATAACTGGAAACAAACATTCTACAATCTTGCATAACTTCCGCCTTTTTCAGTCCTGCTCACAGTTTTGAGCGGCGATACTCGCCTGATGTGAGATGCACTCTTTGCGGTAACTTGTGGGATAGTGTATTTCCCGGACCACGTCTTCTTACGATAGACGCTACGTCGAATACTACCGTCCGGCCTTCAACTTAAAAGTACATCAAGAAAAAGGAGCGATCCGGATTGCTCTTCTTCCAGAGTAAATTTGATTGATGGGTGTGCTGTGTGTGATGGGTTTGGCTATATACTGCTGTCGAAATGATTAAAAGGCAAATGCGGGCAAGCAGAATTTATTCTGTAACTGGGGTTTGGGGGAAATGGTCTGGGTGGATGAGGTGAAATAAAAAATTACCGTCCGGGTCAGCGGGGAGAGGGGGATGGTGGGCACCGGGACGGGTAATTATATGCAAGGGGCCGGCATGGTGGCTTTGGCCCATGGTTACTGGGGGGCCTGTACGAAGTTATTTTGTGCGCATAGAACTGGTTTGTATAGCCTGAATGCAGCCGCCTCTGCTGTTGCCAACAGACGCTGTCCAAGTGATTTCGGATAGCTTGTTGGTACCTTTTAAATCACTTGCAATGCCTGTCCGGCATCTACACGGTGATCTGTGTCTAGCATGTAGGCGAGGATAGACCTGTTGAAGTTCTTTATTTGACCCCTTCATAACCATGTTGGAAGCTGTTCCCTTATTCTTTTGGACAAACGCCGGCTCGCGCGACCAATATATTCTGTCCCACAAGAGCAGGTGAAGGAGTAAATACACATGCAAGTGGTCTGGGCTGGCAATTAGTCCTTGCCCTCTTCATGGAGGACGGGGCTAGTGGAAAAGAGTACACGGGTGTCAGCTGCCGTAAAGGTGCGCGATACAGCTTGAGTTATGCGCCTTCTTAGAAGTTCACTTGGCGCCTCCCCTTGAAACGGTACCCTGCTAAAAAGTTTCTTCTTTTCTGCCGTCAGCATCGGGGACTTTGACGGTCTTTCGGTCATGTACTTGGCAATGAATCCATCGGGATACCCGTTCTGATGAAAGAGATTTTCGACAATCTTGAGTTCTTTTTTAATGCTATCAGCTGAGCAGATACTCCTTACTCTCTGTGGTAAACAACGAACTAAATTCCGCTTCGTGTTTAACGGTACGAAACTCCCAAAATTAGTGTATTTCCCGGACCACGTCTTCTTACGACAGACGCTACGTCGAATACTACCGTCAGGCCTTCTACTTTAAAGTACATCAAGAAAGGGAAGCGATCCGGATTGCTCTTCTTCCAGAATAAATTTGATTGATGGGTGCGCCTGGTCGATATCATCCAGTAGAACTGAAATGTTGTTTTGTTCAGGTGTAATCGCGAATATATCATCCACGTAGCGTCCATAGTATATCAGACCATTAATCTGGCGACTAAACTCGAAAGCTTCTAGCTTGCACATGAATACGTTGTCCACTCGGACACTGACGGTAATTTCGGTTTTCATCTCATCCACCCAGACGCTCCCGCCAAACCCCAGCTAAGGAATATCTTCTGCTTGCCCGTATTTTCCTTTTAATCATTTCGACAGCAATATAAATGTATAGGCCTGATGAGAATTTATCGCATGCTTACGTATGCTTGCCAAATTGTCTTTTGAATCCTTCAATGGGAACTTTCGCAATTTTAAAATATAATTTAGCAAAGACATTCGGATTCCAATGATATTTCATGGCATATTCCTGCCTCTTTTCAGAAGGCATTAAGAGGTTGTAAGAAGTCTGTTTTCGAAATCTCGCCAACTAACAGCTGAACATAACCGGACGAAGTCATATCTAATAGATAAAATTTCTTTAAACGAGCATAGCTCAAAAATAACTGACATCAACTCTCAACATATAAATAATTTACAATTACTGTGCGGGCTCCTGGTCAGCCTTATCGGAACTGTAGCGTACTTAGTAGGAAGATGAGCATGAGAATGGATAAGTGGATTCCGTTGTACTTGTCGTAGGCAGTTAAACGCAAAATGGCGGAACGTTAAATAGGCTACAGCTCTCCATCGTCATTTTCGGAACATCCGCTTGACTCAGATGTCGTTGTGCTGTAGTCCCACTCGACTGAAGACGAGGAAGACGAAGAAGCAACCCGATTATCGGTTCGATGGTCCCTGGCATCTCCACTAGATTCTTCAGACTCAGAATCCGAGGAAAGCATGAGAGGATTGAAATAGCCTTTCGACTTCATGGAGTGGGCGTCCTCCAGCATAGGTAAAAATGCCCGAGCCTGGTAGTTATCCGGTTCAAGCTCAATGATCTTACGACAGAGGATCAATGCGGTATCAAAACGCCTGTACATGACACTGTCGAGAAACTCCAGCAAGAGCTCGCTGGGAGCCCCAGAATTGGTTTCACCCTGTTCAGTAGTCATTCCTTTTGATGGGGTACTTCGCTAATTGTGAGTGCACAGGACTGTTGCTAGGGCTTTTTGAAGTTTTCTGGGACTCTGTAATAAGACATTAATTAGCTATATAGTTTATGTCAAAGAAATTGGTTTTTGCTCACTTTTTTCAAACGATAAAAATATTTAACCTTAAGTGGTCTATAAAAAATATTTCAACTAAAACATTCCAAAACTATGCAGATTAGGAGAGGAAGTCCTTGGCACTGTGGCCTGGTTATATCCTAATTTACGCAAGTACAAATTCAACGCTCTAAGATCCTCATCGGCTGACACTATAGCAACAGGCAACTTCGGTTCAAGTTGCATGGATTAGCCAGTGACTTTGGCAGTGATGAGACGAAATGCCAGTACCGTTTTAATTCAGTATAACGGCCTTGGCAGGCGATGAGAGAAACCAGAACTTATCGGCTGATTAAATGAGATCGTTGAAATATTAATGACCGGTATCCCGTGTTCATATCATCTGGCTGGCGTTATCATGCCTATTGCTCGCCAGGAAAGCCCACCTACCCTTATACGGGGGCATGCTGTCGTTCCTACTGCTGAACGTAACAAATAGTTATGATCACTAGGACTGAAATAGACTCTGTATTTGTCCGAGACATAGATGAGGGATGCACTTTTACTGTAAGCCTATTCGTATTCCAGTCAGAGCGAAAATATATTTTATGCTCAAACTTATTCCAGCATAATTAATAAGCCCGTATTTGAAGTTTGTTTTAGAACAGGTTTACTAAGCTGCGCGTTAGATGTA